GATACCATTTATCTTGAAATTGACATTGTGGAGTTGGTATTTGTGGTGAATGGCCCATAGTTTGACTGAAAAATGGTGAGCTAGCAGATTTATATAAATAATCACGATTTCTAATTTCGTTTTTAAAAATATAACTTAATGGTGTAGCTTCACTAAAACTAAATGGAGATTGCTTTGGCTGTTGTGGTTGTTGTGGCTTTGGTGGCTGTTGTGGCTGTTGTGGCTTTAGTGGTTGATATGGATATTGTTGCGCCTGTTGTTGTTGTGGTGGTGGTACTGGTATTGGTTTTAGTGGTTCTGGTACTAATTTATTTGGAGTTGTATTTAGTACATAATAACTACCAGCAAATTTAATTTCACTATCATAAACTTTGGTTTTTCTGTAGGAAATATATTGTTCCAAATGATAGCAACCAATAAATATTAAAATAGCAATAATTAAAGCTAACATTTTTTACTAATAGGTTTTGAGTTGTAATTATTATTATTATGATTTTTGATATGATTTATGTTTGTTGAGAAAATAAAAAAATATATGATTGGATTATATGAAAAAAAATATTAAGCTGAAAACGAGTGTGTGTGGTTGAAAGCTTTAATTTTTAAAATATGAAAAAAAAAAAAAATTTCAATAAAATTTAAAAATTATTAAAATTATTAAAAAATAAATTATGTATTGTTTAAAAAAATTAAATTTTTTTTTTTTAATAAATTATTATTTGAACTTCAAATAATATTCATTGTTTTAAATAATAGATCAAATCTATTACTCGATTTGATATTAAATAATTAAAAAAACCTATAAATTGTTATAAAAAAATATTATGATAAAAAAAAAAAAATGAAAATGAATTATTGATATATAAGTGTATTCAATTTTTGATCTTATTTACTGATTAGTCTTTTTAATTATATATTTATTATTTTTATACATATAATATGTTGCTTTATTATTTGCTAATTATATTTTCTGATGTTCAAAAAACCTATAGCCCTTTTGGGGTTAATCTCTAATATATATTATTTTTTAAATTAAAATTTTTTTATTTTCTATTTAAATTAAAATTTTTTTTTGTTTTTTTAATTATTATTTAATTTCAAATGGAACAAATGCTATATTTAACTGCCCCAACAATACTATTATTTTCAAATGTAATCATTAAAAGTCTTAGCTCGGCAAGTGTAATAAAAAATCGAAGAATGAAATCTTATTTTAAAATAAAAAACAAAGATTTTAAAGCAATTGGAAAGTTTCAAAATAAAAGCAGAAATCATATCAGTAATACAATTTAGATTGTATTTATAAGCACTTTAATAACGGCAGCATTCTTGTTAATGGAACAAGTATAACATCATGGTACCATTTCGTAAAAACCAATCTTTTAAAACACTACCAAACTTTAATTGAAATGAACGACCCAGAAGCAAGAGTACCATTTTCAAGAAAACCATATGGTATAGAAAATCAAGTTTCATCAAAATCAGTCGTTCATATACTAAGCAACACAAGGAAATTTAGGATTGATTACCACTATATGATTGAGTGTATCGATGGGCAATTCATAGACATATCAACACTAATTCAAAAATATTTTACAAATAAAAATTATGATTAAAAAATAGAATTAAAGAATTTTAAATAAAAAACTATAATTCCTAACTGTAATTTTTTTTTAAAAATATTTTTATATTATATTTATTTAAAAATTATAAATATAATATAATAAAACGAGTTTTTTATTTATTTTATTTCTTTTAAAACATTTGAAAGGTATCTAAAACCTTCATTTAAAACTGGGATATTTGAATTCGATTTTAATTATTATTATTTTTATTTTAATAGATTTATTATACTTCCACGTTATTCTTTTATTTCTTTTTACAACTTTTTCTATTTTAAAACATGATGAACTAATATTTAATTTGTTTGGAATATCTGCAAAAATATGATTACTTTACCCCACCTGAATTACCACTAGAATCTTAACACTTGATTTGACAACATTAGATTTATTATTTGTAACATTATTTGAACCACTATGAACCATCATTAAACTAATTGCCAGCACTATTACTTATTTGAACTATGTAATTTCCTACTATTTGATGCTGAATACATTTTCTATTTAAATTATGAAAAATCAAAATCAAAATATTTTCGGTTTGGCCAATACCTAAATAAATTCTAATAGATGCATACAATAAAAAAACATTAGTATATTTGGTTTATTTATATTATTAATATTTATATATTTACCTTTTAACTTTTCTTTAATTGTAAACTTGAATGTATGGCAGCTCTTTATAATTGGGAAATTGATATTTTTATTTATATTATCCTACTCAAAGAACCGTAATGAAGTTCTGCATGATGGGATAATAAAATATTTTTATTGGCAATAACAGTAGTTGGTTCAATTTCTATTAAATATTGATGAGAATCGACCGATGATATAATACTAATATTTGCCTTGAAAATTTCTGCGGCAGCAAATAAAGTTATATGGTCACCCCAGGTACCATCTCTTGACATGTTATTGCAATAACTTTCCCAATTAGTACTTGCAAATTGACTTAAATTTGCACCATTTTGAAGTAAGAAATTTTTATTCTTTCTTAACCACTGGACAATAGCATTTCTTATTTCTGTACTATGATTTAAATTTCCATAGATTTGATCGGATAAGGAATGCATTTGGCAATTGCCATCTCCTGGGATCACCTTATTATTTTTTAATTGGTAAAGTTTTAAACGTTCATTTAAACGTTTTTGGGCGGCTTCTACTTCTGATAGACGTCCTTTTGAACCAAATAATGGTAAATATTTAACCATTGATGAATACCATTTATCTTGAAATTGACATTGTGGAGTTGGTATTTGTGGTGAATGGCCCATAGTTTGACTGAAAAATGGTGAGCTAGCAGATTTATATAAATAATCACGATTTCTAATTTCGTTTTTAAAAATGTAACTTAATGGTGTAGCTTCACTAAAACGAAATGGAGATTGCTTTGGCTGTTGTGGTTGTTGTGGCTTTGGTGGCTGTTGTGGCTTTAGTGGTTGATATGGATATTGTTGTGCCTGTTGTTGTTGTGGTGGTGGTACTGGTATTGGTTTTAGTGGTTCTGGTACTAATTTATTTGGAGTTGTATTTAGTACATAATAACTACCAGCAAATTTAATTTCACTATCATAAACTTTGGTTTTTCTGTAGGAAATATATTGTTCCAAATGATAGCAACCAATAAAGATTAAAATAGCAATAATTAAAGCTAACATTTTTTACTAATATGTTTTGAGTTGTAATTATTATGATTTTTGATATGATTTATGTTTGTTGAGAAAATAAAAAAATATATGATTGGATTATATGAAAAAAAATATTAAGCTGAAAACGAGTGTGTGTGGTTGAAATGCTTTAATTTTTAAAATATGAAAAAAAAAAAAAATTTCAATAAAATTAAAAAATTATTAAAATTATTAAAAAATAAATTATGTATTGTTTAAAAAAATTAAATTTTTTTTTTTTAATATTGAAAAATATAAATTATTATTTGAACCTCAAATAATATTCATTCTTTTAAATAATAGATCAAATCTATTAATTGATTTGATATAAAATAATTAAAAAAACCTATTCATTGCATAAAAAAAATAATATAATAAAAAAAAAAAAAGAAAATGAATTATTGATATATAAGTGTATTAAATTTTTGATCATATTTACTGATTAGTCTTTTTGATATATATTTTATTTTATTTATTATTTATTATTTATTATATGTAGTTTTATTATTTGATAATTGTATTTTCTGATGTTCAAAATAAACTTTAGCCCTTTTGGGGTTAATTTCTTATATATATTATTTTTTTTAATTTAAATTAATTTTTTTTTTCCTTTTTTATTTATTTTTTAATTTCAAATGGAACAAATACTATAGTTAACTGCCCACTGTATTGTTATATTTTCAAGTATAATCTTTAGATATCTTAGCTCAGCAAGTGTAATTAAAAATTGTAAAATAATGAAATCTTATTTTAAAATAAATAACAAAGATTTTAAAGCAATTGGAATAAAAGGTTCAAAATAAAAGCAGGAAGAAAGAAATCATATCTTTACATTAAACCAATTTTACAAAGCCAAAAGTTACAATGAAAAAAAAAAAAAAAAAAAAAAAAAAAAAAAATTTAATTATTTATTCAAAATACCTCTTTTTTCAAAATAAATAATTTAATTTTTTTTTTATTAGTTTATATTAGTTATATAAAATAATTTTAAATAAAACAAAGTAATTTCACAATAAATTTTAAATTTGTATTTTTAATTTTATTAGTTTTATAGGTATTTTTTATAAATCATGATAAGATGATAATATTAAAAATAATATCACATTATTATTTTTCTTTTTTTTTTTATATTTTTTAAAATTTTTTTTAAGAAATTTTTAAATTTTGATATATTTTTTTATATTTTTTTTTCACGCACAAGTTTTAGATTAAAATATAAACATAGTAACTATGGTATATCACAATCGATAATAAAACTAAGTAAATAACAACTGCAAATGGTATTATTTATAAATATTTATAACAATAACCCACTTTATAATATAAAAATGAATATATATCAATAGATTAAAAAAAATATTATAAAAAATAAAAAAAATAAAAATAATTTAGAAATTTTGATGAATAATTTTTTATTTTTATAAATCAATCAAAAAAAGGTAAAATAGATTTTTCTAATTGTCATTGGAATTTATTAAATATAAAATAATTACTATAATGTAATTTTTTTTTTATTTTTTTCAAACTTTCTTTTTTTTTTATTTTTTTTGGTTCAATTTTTTTTTTTTTTAATTAATAAATAATAATAATTAATAATGGATCATAAAAATTATAAACTATATAGAATTATACTAATTCTCCAAGTATTTGGTTTTTTTTTAAAAAATAAAGGTACTTTTTTATCATATTTAGATCTTATCAAAAAAAAATTAAATATATCTTCTAGTGATAATATAATATTTGAAGATTTTTTTAGAAATAATAACAATGATAATAGCACTAATAACAATAATAGTAGTGGTATATTTTCAAAAATTGGTTATTTATTTAATCCATTAAATTTAATATCATATTCCTCTTCTAATAATAATAATACAGAAATAAAAAATAATGAAAAAAAAGATTTAAATAATAACAATAATAACAACGTTAATTACAATAATATTGAAAATAAAAATGAAATTTTATTTTGGAAAACAATAAGAAATAAAATTATATTTAATAAGATTTTAAAATATCTATCAAACGGTCCAAACTTTAACTCTTATAAATATTATGAAATCATTCACGTAGATTGGATGATAAATAATAATAAAAAAGAATTACTAGAATATAAAGTAAAGAATGGTGACTATTTAATATTCAATCTTCCATTTCTAAATAATAAAAACAAAGCAACCAATAATAAAAATAAAAATAAAAATAATAGAACAATAAACCTAAATATATATAATAAACCAAATTTTCAAAGTCCACAAAATAATGATTTATATACAAAACTATTCAAATTTATCAAAAAAGATACCGATTTCTATATAAACCTGTTTAGAAACTACTCCAATTACTTTTTAATTGATATAGAGGCAACCATCATTCAAGCTATCAAAGAAAAGTCTTTTTCTGCTTTAAAGGTACTGTTCAGTTATTATAATGCAAAACTCACCATAGAACAAGAGCAAAATATAATTAGAAATACCATTAATACCAGAAATTTTAAATCTTTAAACTATATTGTCGAATCAAAGTTTTTACGTCACCATCCAATTCAAATTACCCCCAAAGATATTATTATACTATTTAACGACTGTCCATTTGGAGAAATCGGTATCTCCACCAATGTAGCAAATGATGCCGTATACGATTTGAAGAGTGGAACCCAGGATAACACCAATAGAGAAGAGAGATCCTTTAAACTTTCAAAGTTAATACATGCTTGCAAATTAATAAACTATATCCTGGATCCCGTTGTATTTACTATAGAAACTGCCCACCAATTTGACGCAAGTGCTATCCTCACCAATGATGCGATTAGCCTGTTAGGTTTTACAAAGCAACAATTAAATACTTCAATTATTGGTCTATTGAAAAGTGACAACAATATCTCTAGCTCCATTGAAAAACTAATTAAAATGTACCTATCAATTACAAATCAACAAAACAAAAACATTAGATACTATTTAACTTTTAACAATGGCTCAATTAATGATCAAGTTATTATTAATATGGAAATAAAAGAAACCTTTTCAAAGTGTTGCATGATTGCATTTAGATATGGGAACTACACTTTAATCAAAAGATGGTTTAACCGATTATCAAAAACAAATATATTCTTTGAAATGATACTTTTCCAGAGCTGGGTAGGCGAACTATTCAAGAGATACGAATCCCCAGATTTCCTTTTCGAGCACTGCAACTTTGACCACAATAAAGAAAATATTGAAATTAAAAAAAGAAATTTTATAAACTCTATTTGCCATGATATTTCAGATTCAGAACTAAATAAAGATTTTAAATTTCATCCACTATTGGTATTTTGTTTATGTGTTGCCACTGACGACCTCGATTTAATTAAGTACGCCCACTCAAAACTCCACAATCTTATTTCTACTATTGAACTAGATCCTGTTCTTTTAGAAAGACACTTACTCCATCACCATTTTTCGTTATGTCTATATCGTTATATCAGATCACCACAAGTTTTAGATTACATATATAAGCACTTTAATAACAATGGCAGCATTCCTGTTAATGGAACAAGTATTACATCATGGTACCATTTCGGAAAAACCAATCTTTTAAAACACTACCAAACTTTAATTGAAATGAACGACCCAGAAGCAAGAGTACCATTTTCAAGAAAACCATATGGTATAGAAAATCAAGTTTCATCAAAATCAGTCGTTCATATACTAAGCAACACAAGGAAATTTAGGATTGATTACCACTATATGATTGAGTGTATCGATGGGCAATTCATTGACATTGTCGAATTAGATGATATCAAATACATCATTAGTAACTGCCATTGCTCTGCTAAAAGAGTTAAATTTAATATAATTATGGTCATGACTTCCCCAAAGTTTACCCAAGGTGAAAAAATCGAATTCTTTGATTGGTTTTTTAGAAATAATCCAAGCAACTATTTAGACTATTTTGGTGACTATAATATGGATCTTAATAAAAGAATTCTCTCCCCAACTCATCTAAATTTAATAAATGGATATTTATATCTTACTGGTAGATTAGATCAAGTCCTACTAAACAACACCAATATTGCCAGCATTAATAATCTTAATATGGATAACCCTGAACCATCCACCGAAAATGCATCAAATATTATCAAAGACATTACAGATATATACCACAATTTAGGTTTTAAAATATCAAAAAATCTCTCGTTATTTAGTCACGAAAATTGTGACGAAATTTTTTATTGTATTGGCCTCTTAAATGATACGGACACACTTGATTTACTCATGGTATTAGATAATCACCTAAATTCAACAATAAATAATACCAGTTCCTCAACACTAATTCAACAATATATTACAAATAAAAAAAGATATTTATTCGAATTACTTTGTGGTGCAGTTAACTATGGTAGACTGAGCATGCTCCAATATTTTTATAATAATTATAAATCAATTTTTTTAGAATATTACCATAATAATAATATTAATAATAATAATAATAATAATAATTTATATGATAATTCTAATACGCAATACAATACAATAATTTTATTTAGATATGCAATAATAAATAACTATTATGATATTGTTGAATGGTTTATCAATGTATTAGATTTAAAAATTTCAAAGAGTATTTTATTTGATACAACCTCCACAACCAATACTAAACAAAACAATAATATCTTTACCGAAAAAGATTTTAAAAATAGTATTATTTTTAAAAACTTTAAAAACATGTATATATAAATAAAATAAAAACAATTTCTACACACAACCTTAACAAACTTTTTATTTATTTTTGATCATATTTACATTTATAAAAAAAAAATAAAAAATAAAAATAGAAACTAAAAATAAAAAATAAATATATTATAATACACCCTAACCCACTTAAAGAAATATATACACACTCTTTTTAAATTTTTACCCCCAAATAAAATAATATATTTTTGATATGCTTTAATAGAAGTGTGGTGAAAATTTTATATATTTTTTCTTTCTTTTTTTTTTTTTATTTTCAATTAAAATGATTATTATTAATTTTTATTTTTATTTTTATTTTTATTTATTATATGAGTAAAATTATTGAATAAAAATTTACATATAATATATAATTAAATAAATAATTTAATAAATAATTATTTTTATTTTTTATTTTTTTAAAAAAAAAAAAAAAACTATATATCAATCCAAATTTTTAATACTACCTATATATTTTTTATAAAATAAAATGGAAAATAGTAATAATAATAATAACACTACTACTACTACAACTACTACTACTACTACATCAAATAAAGAAATTGAAATTGATGAAGAAGATAAATATTTAGGTATATATCATTTGGATAAAAAACAACTAATTGAAACTATTAGAGAGATTAGGGAAGAATTTTTCGAGTTGCAAGATGACCATGATGAACTAGAAAAAAAATATAAAGAAAGAGTTAAAGAAATTGAATATGATAGAAAACTTTTATCAGAAAGAGAAAACCTATTGTTACAACTTCAATGGGACCCACAAGAAGATAAATCATTTATAATTCAAATGGGTGCATCGGATATAAACCAAGCAAATGAAAATAGAATGAAGGCGATGGTAGATCAAATGAGAGTAATGGAAAAAGGAATTAATGATCGTGAAGATAGAATAAAACAATTGCAAAAAACAATTGAACAATTTACACTTAACCAACTTAGTAGTGGTGCCCAACCAACTGAAATCGTTTACTCTCAATTCAATACAATTGTACCAAACAACTCTATGAATAGCAGTATTAATAGTTCAAGCAATCTCAGCAATAGTGGAAATATATTAAAGAGCAGCTTATCTGGTGGCAACTCTACCCCTGTATTGTCTAAAATTCAAAACTACTCTGCCGAGTCTCCATCTCCTTTCAGTCCTATTTCAAAATACCCTCTTTCAAAAGAAGCTACAGAATCTATAGAACAAACTGTTACCTTACCATCTGAACAACCACAACCACAAGAACCAACTGCTGTGAATAAAGCTGTAGATATTTTAAGATCTACCTCAACTTACTTTACTAATCTATTTAGCTCAAACTCTAATGAACCAAATGGTGCAGGAAATGATGAATATGCTGACCTAGATACCAAACCATTTATTGTTCCATTATCCCCAGAAGAAGTCAAAGCTTTAAAACAAAACAAAGTTCCTCTATATACAAAAGACCAAATTATAGAAAAACAACAACAACAACAACAACAAACTAGTAAATAATGTTCCACTATCTTTTATTTTTAATAATACAAATAAAAAAATATAATATAACTTTTCCTTTTAAATTAAACATAAACTTTATTTTTATTTACATATATTACAATATATAATTATCTTGAGTTTGCTAAAATTGCCATATCGATACCACTAACAATTCTTGATGGATATTTCTTAAAAACTGAATTAATCATGGCCTTACCCATCTCCTCCAATGTAATAAACCCATTAGTTGAAATTAATCTACCAAATTTATATAGCCAACCAATGAATTTATAATATTTATTTGTATATTTTAATCCTTCAATTTCTTTAACAAAACCTGGTCTAAATGCTAATGGATTTGATACTGTTGAATTGATAATTGTACTTTCGGTTAATGCCTTGACTCTAGCCCAGTTCGACCAACTATTGCTATCAGTACCAGCTCCTGTAACATAGATGAAAGTTAAATCGTTGTCGTATTTTTCTTTTGCATTATTTACTTTGATGAAAGAATTTAACATTGCAATTGGCATTTCATATGAAATTTTATAGTATGTATCTTTATCTTTTCCTAATGATGATGTTCCCAAGCAATAAAAAACTGAATTATACCCTTTAAATTCATCCTCAATACTTGTTAAATTTGATAAATCTTTATGGATAATTTCTTTAATCTTTGGATGCTTAATACCTGATTCCCTACGATTGACCAATAATATGGACTCAACATCGTCATCTAATAAACACTGGTGCACCACACCCTCACCTATCATTCCAGTTGCACCTGTTATAATTGCTCTGACCTTTTTAACATCCCTATCTCTCATATCCTCTGAAAACTCTATCCTTCTTTCATATTCCCAATTTCTATTATTAACAAACCAATACATTAATAATGATAATAATAAAATTGTGAAAGTTGTTTTACTTAACATCTTTTTACTATATATAAACTATAAAACTACAATGTATATTGGTATATGGAATATCTTTGAATCTATCTGTGTTTGTTGTAAAATAAATTAATGAAAAATATAAATGAAAAAATAAAAAAAAAAATTAATTAAAAAAAAAAATTTAATTAAAAAAATTAAAAAAAAAAAAAAAAGGGTACCAAATCATGAAGTTTTATTTTCAATTAAAATTAAAAACCATTTGGTAAAAGGTTACAATTTTGGATGATGTAATTTTTATGAAAATTTTAATACTATTTAAACAAGATTTTTTTATTTATTTTTTTTATTTTACAATTTATTTGCTAATTTTACAATATCTGAACCTTCAAGAATATTTTTACTATAACCTTTTGTGGAAGCATTGATCATAGCGGAACCAAGCTCTTTAAGAGTGATGAAACCATTGGAGCTTATAGCACGTCCGATACCATACATCCAGCCAATATATTTATAATAACTACTAGTATATCTTAAACCTGGAGTTGGTTTCATGAAACCTGGTCTGAAAGCATAACCATTTTTGATTGGAGATTTGATAATATCAGCTTCGGTTTTTCCCTTTACTTTTTGCCAATTTTGCCAACCATTGATATTTGTACCATTTCCAGTTACATAAACAAATGTTAAATTATTATCACTTTTAGATTTTGCATTATTAACTTTTGCGAATGAATTAACCATGGCCATAGGCATATCATAAGTTATTTTATAATATGTATCTTTATCCACACCGACTGATGATGTTCCCATGCAATAATATACTGAATTATACCCCTTGAATTCATCTTCGATTGATTCTAAATCTGATAAATCTTTATGAACAATTTCTTTAATCTTTGGGTGCTTAAAACCAGATTCTCTACGGTTAACCAATAAAATAGATTCGACATCTGGTGATGAAATACACGATTCTACTACCTCCTCCCCAACCATACCTGTTGCACCAGTAATAATTGCTTTAACTTTTTCTGTCATTTTTTTTAAAAATATTATAAAATAAATAATAAATGGTTCTTTAACTAATTTGTTTTTTATAAATATATAAAATGAAAAAATTATTTATTTATTTATGAAAAAAAAATGAAAAAAAGATTAGTTAATTATTTTATGAAAAAAAAATAAAATAAAATAAAAAAAATTATTTGAAAAAAAAAAAAAAACAAATTCAAAAAATTTTACAGCTAATTATTAAATATCAAAAAAAAAAAATAATTATGATATCATCGAAACTTACTTTTACTAAAGAGAAAAAATAATAAAAAATAATAAAATAAAGATATTATTAAAGGAAAAGGTTTATCTGTAAAAAAAAAAATATATAAAACGAAAAGATTTATATATGAAAAAAAAAGAAAAATAAAAAAATAAAAATAAAAATTGGGTGTTAAAGAAAAATTAATGAAATAAGCAGTTTTTTTAAAAATCATATAAATAATATTTAAATATTATATTAAATAAAAATACTATCTATAAATAAAATAAAAATATATTTTTTATTTTGTTTTTTTTTTATTATTATTTTTAATTATCTTTATTGTGGTGGTGGTTTAGCTAATTCTAAAACTGATGGGTGAACATTTTTAATTGCATTTTCAAAATTTTGAATTCCAAAAACATTTGAGGATTCTTGAATTTTTTGATATAAATAAGTTGAAAGATTAATTTTGTTTATTGGATCATTATTAAATATTTTATCAGCTTGAATTTGAACACCACTAGTTTCTTGAGAGAGAACTGTACCATCATTACAATATGAATCTTGAGTGACATCGACAAGATCACCTCTAACCCCTACAACCATTGAAATAATTGTGCCTAATAATTCCAAAACCTCTTCTCTTGGGACTGTTAAAAGATTTGATAAACCAATACCTATTAATTTTCTTTGTTCTAATGAGCCTGTTCTATCAATCATTTCAAAATAAGTATCAAAGAATGTGCTATATAACTCTTTTCTTGTTGTTGGTATTGGTTTTGAACCAAGTGAATCATCCTCGCTATCCTGTTTAAAGTATTGAAGTGGTATATGGTCTAAAATTTTGAAAAATGCAGTTGGGTCCATTGTTAAAATTCTTGAAAATACTGATAAATAATCTACCATCACAATACTGTTATCCTCTTCGTTGCCACAAATAACCATTTTTAATATTTTGTTGATACATGCTTCTAACATAATGATTGCATCTGTAGTTGGTTGCACAATTTGAAGTATTCTATCAATTGATTTAATAACCCTTTCATACCAATCATGGAAAGATTCGTCCAAAACACTTTCGATTGTATATGAAACTTTAGAGCCATAGAAACGAAGGAAATCGATTTGACCCAATAAAAGGTATGTATCAAGTATCTTGAAACACTGCTCACCAAATTCTAAAGTTTCGCTCATAATAGTTGGCCAATGGTTAAATAGCTCGAGCAATGCGGTATTACTTGAATTGAGGCTTGGAACACGTACCATGGTTTGGAACCATAACTCTAAACCATCCTCTCTTAAATAGAGAACGCTATCTTTATCAGAGATTGAGAAATTTATAATTGGTAAAAGCAATGGGAAGAAAAGAGTTGGATCATTGTTTAAAGCTTGAAGGAAGAATGAGAATGAACGTAAAACAGCACTCTTTACCATTGCCTCCTCCTCACCATTATTCCAAAGGCTTTCGAAAAGTTTATAAATGAGTGGAGTAAATGGTTTAATATTTTCGTTGAACTTTATAAAAATGATACCAAGAGCAGCTAAAAGATTTGACTTTGCAGTGGCACTATAAGTACGATTAAAAAGACCAATAATTAACTGTAATGTATCTTGAAGGTATGGCTGATAGGCTACATAGTCGAATTCGAGATCATCAATATATGACTTTACTGCATCCATAGCTGTTAATGCAACTACCATATCTGAATCTTTAAGAAATCCTAAAAGAAGACGTACTAAATCATCTTTTAATTGATCTGGGATTTTACCAATCCAATAACAAACTAACCAAAGAATACGACGCTTGATAATCTTGAAACGTGGGTCTGTAGATTGGAGCTCTGGAACGAAAACCTTTAAAAAGATATCACTGAAATTAACTTTTTCAATGAGATCATAATAGCCCAAACCAATAGTCATATAACAAGCTTCTTTTAAACAAATCTGTTCAGTATTTAGTTGAACTTGTCTTGAGTCGAATGATGGTGATGTGATGTATTCCAACATTTTAATGACAATATCCACACAATCCTCGTGGAAGTGTCTCATTAAAAGGATGAATAAATTATATGATGCTGGTTTTAATTCAAAATAAACATCTTCAACCTGTAACTCTTGAATATATTCCTCTGGTTCCGATTCCCATCTTTCCATTTCTTCACTATTAATAATTAAACAATTTGATACCAATGCCTTTAATATAGAAGAAAGATTGTCATGATTAAAAAACCCTTTAATTGAATTTTGTGCCAAATTAATTGGTGTTAAATGCTCTTTGTTTTGATTCTTTTCTGCTAATGTACCAATACGTTCTATTTCATCTTGATCTGGGTCGTCATAACTACTTTGATAGGAGGAACAGTTTACAACCTCTCTCATAAAATTAATACCCTGTGTTATTACCAACAAAAATTGTTTACTTGAATTCCATTCTTTTTTACTTGTATCATGTGGATTAAATAATAAAATTTGATTTGAAAAAAATTGTAATGTTGGTGTTAATAATTTTATAAAACTTAATGGTTGTACATGTTGTGACCTTAATAAAATCTATTAAATAATTAAATAAGAGTATTAGCAATAATGTAAATAATTACAATAAATAAAACTTTTTATAAAAATCTTACTTTTTGATTTAAAAAAACAAACTTATCAATTAACTCTAATACACTTGAATCTTTAATTGTTAATCTATATTTCATTATTTCAGGTACAATTGAAAATATATCAAAGTAGTATTTACAAATTTCTTCTGATGATTGATAGTCTGTGTAACCATATTCGACAACTCTTCTTAAAATCTTTGTAATTGAGTTTAATAACATTATCAATGATGTTTTGTATTGACCCAAATCTTGACTACTGATTAATAATTCAATTAATTTTTTTGTTCCATCTTTCCAAACATTAATAAAATATCCAAATGTATTTTTTGAAAGCTAAAATTTAAAATTTTTATTTTAATATTTTTATTTTTTAAAAAGAGTTAATAAACAAAAATAAAAATAGCTAATAATTACCTGGGTGAAAAAATCTCTATCACCAAACCATCTTTTTGATGCAACTTCTTTAATAACAAATTTAATAACTCTAAGTGATGTAATTTTAACTCTATCTGATGTAGACTTTTCAAATATTTCCAACAATACGTTCATGAGATTTGGCCATTGACTTGGATAATCATTTCTTGCAATCTTTCCAATTGAAACTGCTAAAATTTCGATACCTTCTGTGCAAGTTTCGTTTGGATTATTTAATAGTACTAATAATTTGTCCCTGTATATATTTTTTTCCTCCTCTGTAAACAAACTACCTCTAAAAATAAATAAAAATAATAAAAAAAAAGTTAATTAACACTGCAATATTAACACAATAAAAAAACTCACTTACTTTTTCCAATGAGCTATAACTAAAGATTTAAATGAAATGGCTGCTAGATGTCTTGCACCATAAAAAATATTTTGATCACCAAAAATCTCCAATAAATATTTAGAGAATCCCTGTTGCTTTTTTAAATGCACTAATTGATCCTCGGCTGCTTTTCTAACATCATTATTACAATTTAAACATGTTGTTAATATTTCAACAATTCTCGAATATTCCAGTTGATCCATTATATTTCTAAAATGAATATATGAATATATACACTATATCACTATTATTTTAAAAATAAAAAATACAAAAAAATAAAAAAATAAAAAATGAAATTTTTTTTAAATTTTAAAAAATCCTTTTTTTTTAAAAAAAAATCAAATAAATAATTCAATTTGGAAATAATTGTGATAAATTATGTACCCACTACCCAATTTAATTGTTGTTTTTTTTATTTTATTTTCCAAATTCTTTTAAATAAAACAATAATAGTAATGTTAACAATATTTAAGGGAGGAAAAAAAAAAAGGTTTGAATTATTCTAAAACGAACTATAGTTTTCTTATGAATAATGAATAAATAATATTTTTTTTAATAATAATAATAATTAAAAAAAAAGTAGTTGCACATAACACAATATAAATTATTTCACTTTTTTATTAAAGCAACGAACAAATTAATATTCGGTTTTTTTTTTTTTTTTTTCGTTTTTATTTTTTTTTTTTTTTAATTTTTTTTTTTTTAAATTTTTAAATTTTTTCTTGCTCAAAATTTTCTAAAAATTTTTTTTTTTTTTTTTCTTTTTACAGTTTGTCATTCATATACAAAATTTATATATACTAAAAATGTCAAGTAGAATCTTTGTTGCTCGTCTCCCATGGTCAATTTGCAAAGTTGCCCTCAAAAACCACTTTTCTAAATTCGGCCCAGTCAGTGATGGTTACGTCGTTTTAGTAAGTCTCAAATATTTTTTTAATTTTATTTGTATATTTACATTTATTTGTATTTTACAATAAACGATTTTTATTTTTATTTTTTTTATAATTAAATATTAATATATATTTTTTTTTATCAATTGTAGGATCGTATTACTAGACGTTCAAAAGGTTACGGTTTCGTTACCTTCGCAACCCCAGAAGCTGCCGAACACGCTGTCAACAGCAGTCACGAAATGGACGGTAGACAATTAATTGTCAACATTGCTTTTGGTAAAATATCTCATTTAACACATTTATTTTTCTAAATATTCAATTTTTAAAATATATAACTAACTTTATTCCCATAAAATACTATAGATAAAAAAGATGCCCCAGTCGAAACCAATGAAACCAAAAAAGAATAAATCAATTTAATATAGTTTATATAAAATCAAATAGAATGTAAAGATACAACAAAAAGTTTTTTAAATTCTTGGGTAAAAAAAAATACAAAAAAAAATAAAAAAATAAAAAATAAAATTTATAATTATAATTATATATAATTTTTTTTAATAATTTTATGTGCACATATTATATAATTTTTTAAATTTTGGGATATTATACAATTTGATAACAATAGATTAAAACTATTATATCAATTATTTATTATTGTTTTTTATTATTATTATTATTATTATTTATAAAACTTTGGTGAATGGTGATGAATCTGTTGGGTTGTCTGGTTCTTTATTAACTTTACCAGTTAGCATCTAAATAAAAATAAATTAATATTAGATTGGCATGGATTTAATGTAGTTGTGTTTGAATACTTACACCTTCTTGAATTTTCATCAAACAGTCTCTTCCAACCATAACTAATTGGACTACTTTTGTGGGATCAGTTTCAAATCTATTCATTTCAAATTCTTGTCTTGCACTCTCTCTTAATACATCTTTCCATTGTCTACCTTGATCATTTCTGTGATTAAAATATCGAATGGTTCTTATAATATCTCTATACAATCTGACTGCCTCTCTTCTTCCACTTGTTGCCATTTAATAAAATACAACTTTATATTAAACAATTCAAAAATAAAAAATAAAAAATAAAAAAACGAAAAAAAAAAAAAAAAAAAAATTAAAAAAAATTATAAAAAAAAAAAAACTAAATTAAATTAAAATTTTAAATTAAACTAAATTAAAGGTTTATTCATAAAACGAATTAATTAATCCAAATAATATCAAAAAAAAAAAAATATATAAAAAAAAAAAAAGAGAGAAAATGGAAATGGTGTAGTAATTTTAAAAGAGTATAATTTATATTTAATAAAAAAATAGAATAAAAAAAGAAATTATAATAACACAAAAAAAAAAAAAGATAAAAACAAATCGAATTTAAACAAAAATGAAATTGATTTTTTTATAGATATATTTTCTATTTATTTGTATTATTTTTGGGCTTTTTAATATTTATTTTATTAATTATTTTATTTTTAAATTTAAAGGATATTTAAATTAAAGTTCGGTGGATTTTAAAATTAATTTGAATAAACTAAATAAATTTATAAAAAAAAAAAAAAAAAAAAAAAAAAAAAAATTTATAATCCCAAAATTTTATTTAACCACAAAAAAAAAAAAAAAAAAAAAAAAGCAAAAAGGGAAAAAAAAAAAAAAAAAAAAATTCCTGGAAAATGCCACCATTTTTTTTTTTTTTTTTTGTTTTTTTCCCGCCCCCCCCCCAGAAAAAAAAAAAAAAAAAAACCCCCGACAATCATCAAGAAACCCGAAGCACACTGCAGTGGCCAGGAAAAAGCAAAGAAGAATTATTATTCCCAGGAGGACCCGCCTGGCGGGCTCCCTTTTTTTTCTCTTCTGGTGCCGCGCCCCTCAGATGATTAAAGACAATCCCGCTGTTTATGG